TTTTTTTTTTTTTTTTTTTTAATTGCGGTCTAGTGTGGTTTTGGTTTACAGCGGCCGTCTAGTGTGGTTTTGTTTATCATATTAATAGCTTTTCTGCTTTGGCTAATTTGTTTCATTTTGTTTTAACATATTAAAGGAAGATAGATTGCTCTGTGTATTTTCATGCATTTAGGTGCCAAGAAGCGAGTTTTTGGCGGTGCAATGATATCATAAGATGGTAATTTGATACTGAAAAAGGAGAAGTTCTATTACTGTAGTGGTATATGGGCGAAAAGACTCGGTTCATGAATCGATATGAACATATACTCTGGAATTTAGGAAGATTCCGATATCAGTATATCTTGCTCAAGATGCATGTGCCAGTATAGTTGTTTATGATTAACCCTACCAGCATCGATATAAATGCAATATCGGACTCAGTATAAAATGTTCAAGATTTTTGTAATCAGTATAAATTGTAATTGATTGTGATTAGCCTTAATTATAATGCTGACATTATGCAGTCTGAAATGTGTTTCTGTGGTACTGGTAGATTGTTCATTTATCCTTTGTTATTTTTCATCAACAGTTGAGCTTTTCGGAAATTCAGGGAGTTGATCGAGTTATTTTTAAGATGTATTTCAATTGAGTTGTGCGTTTTCTAATTTCAGGATCAAACTGAAGAGCCAGGAGGACCTGGGGTTATTGTATCCAATCATGTATCTTATATAGATATACTTTATCACATGTCGTCCACTTTTCCAAGCTTTGTTGCCAAGGTTAGTTAAGTCTTTAATTATTTACAGATATATATATTTTCGTGATGCAATAGTGTACCTGATACCTTTGTGTCTATCTGTGTGGGTTATGCTTTGCCACTTTGTTATGGAAGAGATCAGTGTCCAAACTTCCTATTGTTGGTCTTGTAAGGTTGGTTCACTCTTCTTTACTATGTAAATTGTGGCTTTCGATATTTGTGTGCTTTTGAGCATCAGTGGCTATCTTGTGCATCTGCTTGTTGTTTAATGTATTAGTAGAAGTATCTGAAACTCAAGTTCTGAATTTTCCTTCTCATATTTATTTTGAATTTGTGACTTTGGTGAATGGGCAACCAAGGCATTTCTAGTGCATTTCCTTTAGATTTTGGATATGAGTTTGACAATGGTGCACTGTTTAGAAATTTAAAGGTAGACCATGCAGCTGTTCTTTATAGATTCTTTCCAATCTATGCAAACTTTTTTTCTTCTGAAGGTAACATATATATATATGTGTTTTTTTTCTTCATGGCCGTCTTTCTCATTAGATTTATTCATTGAGGATCCTTGAGTGGTGTACCAAGAATAATACTGTTGTCTTCCTATGTCTTTTTGGCTCCTTTGTGGACCTCGAATTTATTAATATTTCTTCTTGGATACTCCCATTGTTGGTTCTTCCCAATATAATTTTTAATGTTCTACAAGCAAATCACTTAAAAAAAATCAGCAGAAGCATATTTTATAAATCTACCTTTTTGTTGCTCACTTTCTGTTCTTATTTGTGGGTAGTTCGTACCTACATGTCATGTTTTTACGTCATTCTTCGTAAGAGTTGAACTGTTCTACTCTTTTATTTTACAGCAAGTGTCTTGGATGTGTCTATGTTCAGCGTGAGTTGAAATCATCAGACATAAAAGGGGTCTCAGGTAACTTTCATTGTTCCTCTCAAAATAGTGGGGCATTGTATTCATTACACAAAATCAATAATTTGGCCAGAGGCTAGGGAAATTAAATTAGTTGGCTACATATGTGGATACATCTTAGGATAGCCATTTATAAGAATAATGGTTATCAACCTGAGATATGAGGGTACTGTTTTCTTTTGAAAAACTCGCCTCTCACATTTATTTAGCAATCCTGTGGAATCCAAACCTATCAAGTGATCTCAACACTTGTTCTAGGAAATGATGTCTTAAAGATTAGCCTTCTCTATTGCCATATTAGAAATGGTTGGCTCAGTACAAAATCAGCTGTTTGGTCAGTTGGAACGCAGGGAAAACATGGTCTATACAGGAAAACTTTCTCCTCTTGTCAGAATATACCACTATCACGACATTCGGAATTATTGACTAGGTTATAATCTTGGGAATACCATCTTTCTTGATTTGCAGCTGTTATCAGTGATAGAATTCAAGAAGCTCATCAGGATAAGTCTGCGCCTAAGATGATGATATTCCCAGGTAGTGTATGTTAGACGACCCTAGATTATGTCCCTTTCTTTTCTCTCTCACAAAATTGTGATGCACTGTTGACATATGTTCAGAAAAACTACAAGATCGCCAGCTTGTGATTCACTCGTATATTATCATTCACAGTAATACTTTTTTTTTTTTTGTTTTTTTTTGGTCTGGCGTTCTTAATAAAAACTGCCCAGCTGCAGCAGTAACATGGTATATTTTGACACAATATAATCATTTTTTGAAAGTTAAACATTTCAGATTCATCGTTCCCCTCTGTATTTGGTTGTCTCTATCTACAATGCGCATGTGAGTACATCATCTGTTATATCATCTGCCTAATACTTCTTTGTCTCATTAACAGAAGGCACAACGACAAATGGTGACTACCTCCTTCCATTCAAGACTGGTGCATTTTTGGCACAGAGTCCAGTACTTCCCATCATTTTAAGATATCCTTACCAAAGGTTTAGTCCAGCAT